GAAGATCTGCAGGACTGGCAAAATGTTTACGCTCAGCAGCACATAGCATCATCGGGTACGCAATGGAAATGNTACGCTCAGCAGCACATAGCATCATCGGGTACGCAATGGAAATTTATTACTCCAGCAGCGCCCCACCATGGAGGTCTTTGGGAAGCCGCTGTACGTTCAGCCAAAAAGCACCTCTATCGTACGGTCGGCCGGCAAGTCCTCCGCTTCAATCAACTAAGCACCCTGCTCGTCAAGATTGAAGCCTGTTTGAACTCAAGACCACTAGTTCCACTTCACGACGATCCGAGCGGAAGCCTCGCACTCACACCCGGCGATTTTCTGATTGGCCGACCTCTGAACTCCAGACCAGAGCCACCCATCGCCAACAATCCAGACAACCGTCTTCTGTACTCACAACAATTGCAGAAAATGTTTGAACACTTCTGGAATCGTTGGCAACGAGAGTACTTATCCACTCTACAAGCACGGCGCAAGTGGGAAAGACGCAGAGAGAATCTACAGCTGGGCGATGTCGTACTGATTCGCAATGAGAACCTTCCCCCATCGCATTGGCGTATAGGCCGCATTGTGGAAGTTCACCCTGGCACTGACGGTTTGGTTCGTATCGTCACGATTGAGTACAATAGCGAAAAAAGGACACCGGAGGGACTATTCATTAAACACAGGTGCCAACGCCCGGTGCAGGAGGTTTGTCGTCTTAGCGACCCACAAATTCTGAACCAGGACGGTTCAGCCGGGGAGGAATGTTAAATATCCAAAATGAGCATTTGACTTTAGTGCGTTTTGAAGCCACACAATCCGGCATCACCAGCATCAGGTGACCGGCTGCAGTTAGCATACATATGTACATATCTCACGCCACCCAACCGTTGCTTCGATCATGCCATTGTACCGTATACAAGAACTACTATCTATTTTGTTATTATTTGCTTACACACTATTTTTCTACTTAAGCTCAACTTTGATATGAGCATTGGTTATTATTGTAAATCTTTTGACGTGATTGGTACGTTCGCCTTGCGAGTACCCAAATAAACCACATACATACCTATACTTCGAATTCATGTTTCTTTTGAGTGTTTAGTGCAAACCTAAACAGGCAGTAACTGTTATGTGCTATTGATACCTCCCTACAAATTTTTATCGCGGGGTATA